GCCCCACACCTCCCTGCCAACCTTACTCACCCTGTAGCCAACCCCAACACTCCCCACCCCACCTGATTCCACGCACCCTCGACCTCACCCCCACCCATCCCAGTTGGTCCTCGAGTACTGTTCAGAGGTGGGCGTCCGACCATATACTGTGCGGGCACGTTGTACCTCTGCATCTGCAGCCCCTCCGCTCCGCTGCCTTGCAGTGCGCTTCCATGCATCGGTTGCGCAGTGGGCGGGAACACAATGCTGCAGGAGCAGCCGGCGCCGCCCGCGGCCACCTGGGGCGGGCGCCTGCTCGTGCAAGTTGATGAACAATTCAAAACGACGCCGCGAGGCGCGCCGCCTTCCATCCCCCAATACGCCCCCTCAAAACCTTGGACGCGTCCCCACCTCGGTCCGACCTGTGCACAACCTCGGACCCCGCTGATCGATCTGAAACGCAGGGAAGCCTGGCCGATGCAGTCCGGTCGGGGCAGCTGCACACCGCCACCAACAGCAGCGCACACCCAACGAGCGGTACGACCGGCGGCGCCGGCACGAGCCGCGGCGCCAGCGCCAGCGCCGGCGCCGGCGCCAGTGGCGGCGCCAGCGGCAACGGCTCCAGCCCCGGGCGCGCCGGCGGGCGCCGCGTTTTTGGGAGCGGCGGCGCGAGCCGGGGCGCGAGCAGCCCGGGCGCGGGCAGCGGGTCGCGGCCGCGGCGGCGCAGCTGGACCAGCCGCAGCTGGACGAGTGGCAGCAGCCCAAATCCCGCCATCGGCGACGCCGGCGGCGACGCCGGCGGCGACGCCGACGCGGACGCGGGCGTGTTTGGCGGCCTGGGGACGACGGCTGCCGGCGTGGGGTTCAGCACGGGCGGCGGTATCGGGCCCGGCGTCGGCGGGCGCGCCGGCGGCGCGGGCGCGACCGGGCCGGCGGCGGCGGTGGACGTGCCGAGGGCGCTGGCGCTGCTGCTGGACATCGCGCAGGGGATGTCCTACTTGCACGCCAGGCGAGCGGGGTGACGCGAGGGCGCCGGGCTGTATGCGGGGCGGCCTCGCTGCACCTCTCTCCTGTTACCTCAGGGTTCTCCAGCGGAAGAGGGCGCCCTTTGCCGCGCGCGCCCTCTTCGTCCCTCCAGCCACTGCCTTGGGCGCCGCGCCCCTCCTCCAACCATGCGATTCGCGTGCCTTGCCCTCGCATCCTGGCTTGTGTGGTGGGCCCTCGCTTAATTTCACAGAAACATCGTCCACGGAGACCTCAAGTGTGAGCAGACGGGGCAGGGACTGCATTGGGCAGCCATGCATGCATGCGCAATGAAAGCTGGCTCCTGCCCATGAGGGGCCCCGGCGGGCAGGGGAGCACCAGGGCAGACGGTGCGCAGACCAGGCGGCGGCCTGGGCCCAGTGTCCGTGCTCCTGACAGAATGTCGGCCTCAACACACTACCTCATCTTGACCCTGCGCTGCTTTGCTGCTGACGCCTTGATCCTCCAGGCCAGAACGTGCTGCTGGCGCTGGCCCCTGACAGGCCCCTGGGGGTGGTCGCCAAGATCACTGACTTTGGTGGGTCTCCTGATCTGAGGATCTGATTACTTGATGCTTGAAAGCCGTGATGATCTGATGACGAGATGATGCGATGACATTATGATCTGGTTACGTCATCACCAGATGATGCAATCACCTGAGCGGCCAACCTTGAGGGTAGGGCCCCATGACCACCCTCCCCCGTTTATTCTGACCACTCTGGCCAGCCCCACCGTCAAGCAGGACGTATTAATAGCGTGGCGCCACCTGTGAGCTGGCTGCCCGCCCTGAGGGAGATCCTGGCGCGCCCGGCCCGACCCAACCCCGCGCCGCCTCGCGCCCGCGCAGGCCTGTCCAAGGCGCTGGGGCGCAACCAGACCCATGTGACCACTCAGAGCATGGGCACAGTCACACACATGCCCCCAGAACTGTTCAAGTGAGCTGGAGTTTGTTTGTTTGTGTGTGTATGTGCACGTGTGCGTGTGTGTGCATACATGCGTGTGTTTGTGGGTGACTATGTAAGTAAGAGTGTGTGCGTACTATGTGATTTAGAGAGTATGTTTGTGTGAGTGTCGTGTGTATAGAATAAGGGTGTTTGTTTGAGTGAGAGTGGTGTGTGTGTGTGTGTGTGTGTGTGTGTGTGTGAGAGAGAGAGAGACAGAGAGAGAGAGTGTATGTGTGTACTGGTGAGGGGGGCCCGGAGAGAGGGAGCGCCGGGTCTGCCCAGCCCTTGGGCCAGCGGTCCCACAGGGGGGGATGCATAGGAGTTCGTCGGGCCTCGCGGTTTGGTGGGCGGCAAACAGGGGAGCGGCGACGAAGCAGGGCGCCTTGTGAGAGAAGTGCCGAAGGCGTGCACGGCCTCACGACCCCGCCATCCTTCCCCTCCATGTGCGTCCGCCCACCCAGAACGGGCCGCGTGAGCCCCGCGGGGGACGTGTACGCGTTTGGGGTGCTGGTGTGGGAGGTCATCACAGGTGAGGGCCAGCCCTGGCAAGCCCGTTGGCTGTTGGTGAGGGTGGCGAGGCGCCGCGTGCATACCAGCAATACTCGCTGATGGGATTGATTTGTTTGGCAAAATCGGGATGGTTTGCAAAGGGTGGCAGATACGAAGGTCAGGCCTGAGCTTAAAGGGGAGACGGCCCGCCCCTGCCTCGCATCCACGCACTGGCCAGCAGCCTCGTGCAGGGTAGCCTGCACCCTATCGAGCATCCCCTCCGCCGTCAGAAGGCCAAACACCCCCTCCGGCGTCAAAAGGCTAGCCCCCTGCACCTCACCCGCCCCCCCTGCACCTCACCCGCTCAACTCCTCAC